GGGAGAGGTGGAGGTATTTGGCTGTGACTGCAAGAGGCACTGGGGAAAGGCCTACACATGAAGTAAAAATTTCCTGCCCCACCAACTTTGCACTTTAACATGCTACACAGGACGAGACCGTACATGCTATGCCTTCTTCTCACTACAAAAGGCTATTGCATACCCTGAGCCAGTCATGTCCTGAATGCACAGGTCACCAGGCACACACCATTTCAGTGGATGGCCCTCCTGTGAATTCTAAGGCCTGAACTTTAGCTTTGATATAATCCCATATTGCTGCCCAAACACAGGAAGGCTCTCATTCTCGCATTTAACTTTTGGGGGGAAAATGTTGAGGGGTGCAAAACTGTCTTGGTAGGAATTAGAAAAAATTGTCTTCCTCCAGGTATACGTAGCCCCCATACCACTGGTATAGTTTGGCTACCACAGCATGGGCAGATCTCAGCCCCCTGAAAGTTACCTCCAAATCTTTCACCCCTGCCTCACTGGCCTGGGGTAGAGGAGGCATGCATAAGCAGTTAGTTCCTTGGGGCTTTCCCCAGAGAGGCAAGGGGCTCTGGGAAAATGGGTGGTGGGATGACTGAGCTGTATGAGAAGCCTGAAAAGAAAGATGGAAAAATCAATGAAATGAGTTTCTAACGGTGAGGTAAAGGACCGCTGTGTCGACAGCCTGTCGCCTGCTGCAAAATATGAGCTGCCCAAGTCTGTGTCGCTGCTGACAGTGCATATAGCCACCACTGTCCTCCCTTCAGGCACCTGCCCCTAGCCTCTTCTGCTGCCCTGGCCTTTCTTATTATAGCCAGACTCTCCCCTCTCTCTTCTTTCCCCTATTTCTTAATTTCTTCAGGGTCTTTCTTGGCTCTTTACTGAAACAACAGGACAGGTGGGCTATAATCCCTGATGGGGTACACCTTTCTCTTCTAAGGCTTTTGTGTGTTTGGCTCTGATTTTGTTTTGCGAGCTGTGGTAAGTTCTGTATCTTGCCTCCCCCTCTTCTAGATGCGTCTAGATTCTATCAACAATGGCAGTCAGATGTCAAGGTGATCCTTCTTCTTCTCAGCTTTAGTAACCCCTCCCTCCTCCTGCCTTTTGGTCCACATGGCCAATGCTGACTTCCTTGTAAACACCTGGGTTTACAAGTTGAACAGGTGTTCAGAAAGGGTCTGGTATTGATTTGTGAATTCTTTGTGACCACTGTGCATTTGTGTGTGTATATGATGCAATTATTTCATGATTGAGAATGGGGTGGGGATACTACTTTCAATTCAAATTTGTCTAAGGAAAAAACTCTGAACCTTTTCTGGATACCATCTTTTCTCTATCTTCTTCCATATTTTTGTCTTGGAATCATTTTTCTGCCCATTATCTCTATATAGAATTCCCAGGTCAAACCTCCAAGAGTGTTTCTAACCCAGTCTCTCCTTTCTGCCTCATATTTCACTATTGCTAGTTGATATTCTTCCAGTTTCTGATTTCCCAATTTGCCCATTTATGCAGACTCAGGTTTAGGAGTTTGAGAGAGAACTGGGAGGGCAACTTTTAAGTCCCTATGAACATTTGCTGGATAAATATTTATTAAGCCTGTTCTGAGTAACAGACACAGCCCCTGCTCAGAACGACATTGTATCTCCCACCTGATGCTTAGGTTTTTGGCTTAAAGGGACCTTCTTTCCTTCCTCTATAGCCAAATTCCACTCTGCTCTCTAGCATTTCAGAACCTCCCTTTTCTCTATTCAGGCATCAGTTTGTACTCTACCACAGGTCTGATCCCCTGTCTTGTGCATTTCCAGCTTTAGCTTCCATTCCTAAACCCAAAGTCAGATTCATCTGACATTTTCAACTATCCACCCTCCTCCATTTCCTTTCCTGTTCTGGAATTGCCATTTCCAGTTCTCCTCCTTCTTAGCCTGCATTTCAGTATCACCACCCTAACCTCAATGCCCCCTGTCTCCGGAGGTCCCTTGTCTTGCTTCAGTAGGCTCTAGGAAACCTCGGACACTCAAACAATAGTGGTTTGTGACAACTGTTGTTCTGCTCCAAGGATGCAAGATCAAACTACCAGTGCCAGGAATCCTACAGATTTGCCTCTACCCAGGGCCCCGGCCCACATATCATACAGCTCCCCAGCAAAGCAGCAAGTTGTTCCTGCATGGTTCTCAAGGTAACACAGCTGCCTCTGACATCATGGAGGGAGGAATCCTGTAAGGTTGCCAAGGCAACACCAACAATTTATGACATCAGAGGTTTGAGGTCTTTGGTTCTCAGGGGACTAGGAAGATTCAAGTTCCTGTCAGTTGAAGTAAATGGGAATTCTACTTTTTCATCTCATTGCTTGTGTTCTCCTGGCTTGGGAATGAAATATAAAGGCCTTTGGTAGGGTAGTGAGTGATGAGGCCAATGGAATGAATGCTCACGAGGTTTTCTCTTCCTCTCTCTCCACTAGATCTCTCTGTTCTTTCAATCCCTGCCTGGGCAGCTCTCTGTTTTGGGGCCTGTGGTATTTCTGCTATCCTTTTTTTCCAAATCACCCCCTCCCCCGAAGTGAACTGTTTGCATCCTTCATGCTGTGTCCTCCTTACACCAGAGGTATTTGTTTCCTTTGAGACCTCATCATCTCTTCCTTTCCCCCACCAAGCTCTGTGCAGCTCTGATCTGCTTCAGCACTCCTGCATTTGCCATCCATTTACTTTCTTTGTACCATATATTCTTTTCCCACCTCCTCCTATTCATCAATTCCTCCCTTACGCCACTTTGCCATTGTATCCATTTCATAGAGCTTTTTTGTTGATCTCCTTTTTTAGGAATATTCTAAAAAGGAGATATTTTCTTCCTTCTGTGTAACTATTAACTATTTATTTTATTCTCTCAATTTGTCATTAATCACCCTTCGGTTCCTCCTCTTCTCCCCATTCCGCATAGATTTTCCTCACTTCCTTTGCACATCCCCATGTCATACATTTTTCTACCCCATGTATTTACTGCACCAGGCCTCCCCTTCCCTTCTATAATTCTGTTCACCTCTGAAATCTTCCATTATCTGCCCATATCTGCCTCTTCTTTTTACCCTCCCAAGCTCCTGAGTTCTGGAAAAACAATGATGGGCTTAAAACCAAGATAAACTACAGATCTTTTATCCACCTTTACCATTCTTTAGGTTGGATAAATCTGGTCCTTTGCATCAGATAGCTTCTCCCACAATAATAAAAACTGCCTCATAAAAAATGGTGCTGAATCCAAATAAAATAATAGTAGCGGTACAGGAGGAAAATGAATTAAAAAGTGAAGAAAAAGCCACTAATATCTAGAATGAACTAAGGATGGAGGCTAACCAGGCAGGGTGGAGCTTAGAGTCCTAGAGAACGTCCCCTTATGAAATCAAAGTTGACAGTTAACTGACATAATGGCACTGATTGATGAAGGGGTTATATGCCCCTGGAAGCCCATTAAATTGATTTCTTGGCCTATTTATGTGCCTTCACAAACCATATCCCCCACCTCTCCCAGCCCCTTGCTTGTGGTTTCTTCTGTTGCTGAGGTTAAATGTTGGGTAAGGGGAAAAGGGATAAAAGAAACAGTGACTAAGAGAAAAGGTAGAAAGAAGGCAGATTACTGGAACAAAGATGGTGAATAAATAAGGGAGATCATGGCATTCAAGGATAGAAAAAAAGGTATGAAATAAAATGGGGAAATGAAAAAAATATATACAATGGTAAAGTGGGGGAAGGGAGGAAAATGAAGTCAGCAGGGAAGAGGTTTGTGGTGGAAAGCTCCTGGAAAGACAGATGATACACAGTGAAGACCAGATCGTGAGATCCTGATGGGGGAGACAGGCACATGGCAAGGAAGACAGTCAACAATGCTAGGAAGTTCCAAAGCTTCCCTGGTGAAGGTGGAACAGAAGGCTCTCCTAGCAATGCTGAAAGGGCACATGAGTCTGGGGGAAGACATATCTGCTCCATCCCCCTACTTTTCAGACCCCTGACCAATGACTATCATAATTCTGATCAATAAGCTAACTCCAAAGTAGTATGAAAAGACCACAGACATTGAGATGGACCCTGAAGGAGAGGGCATGGAGTCCTAGACGGCAGAACAGTCAGGCAGCCAAGGCGTGACACATAGTGAAAGGGACACATAGGGAGATCACTCAGATGGGAAGGGTCACAGCAGAGACAGTGACACACAGAACTGGAGACGAATGAAGTGGGGAGACATGGTGAAGAATGGCAAAACCAAGAGGAAGGGACATATGGACAGAGATCAGGGGAACTACAGGCACAGCTGAAGCATGGCCCAGTGCTCCAAAATGATAGGGCTACTCAGACAGGGGTAGACAAGAGCTGATGTGGGACAGGGGTAACAGGACAGACACGCTTCATCTTCAATGGGGCAGTAAGGCTTCCCCTCACCTACTCACACCTTTTCAAAAAGAAGAGTGGGGGGGTGCTCAACTTCAGGCAAAACGAAGACGTCCCTCCCATCTTGCACCCTAGCGCGCTAACCCATCCATCAGCCCTCCCGCCGCGGTTCCTCCCCCATCCCTCAGCCGGCGGGGGGCCGCCGAGACCCAGGCCCTTCCAGGCTGACAGCTCTGAGCCCTCGAACTCACCCGGCCTCCCCTTCCCTCCGGGAACCCCGCTCCCCGGCTCCCCGTACAGCTCGGCGCGGTCCGTCTAGGCTTTTTCGTTACCCTCCGTCTGTCCCGCTGGCCCCTGCTTCTCCCTCCCCAGTCTCTCCCTCCACCCCCTACATATTTCTCTCCCTACATACGCCCTCTCTCCCACATCCCGGCTCCCCTTCTCCCCGGGCTCTGGCTGTCAGTCCGTCCGTGTCCCCTCCCCCAGCCCCTTCCCATCCCTCTCCGTCCCTCCAGCGGCAGTCTCCGAACGCCTCCTCTCCCCTCGTCTCGAGCTTCCAAAGAGCAAGGAAGGGAAGAAGAGCGAGAGGGAGAGGAGAAAAAAAAAAACCAACCCAGCAGCATCGGAAATCGATGCACTTACACCTCAGCTGGAAGCAGGGACGGGAGTCGAACCACGGCCGCCGAGCAGCGCGAGGCGGGGAGGGGAGGGGGCGGCTCTTGGAAGGGACTTCTCCGATGTGTTGATTCCTTTTTTTTTTCCCCTCCTCCTCCCTCCCTCCAGCGCTCGCTCCGGGGCGTCGGGGACGGAGATGGAAAAAATAAATAAATAAATTCACGGCGGTGAGGGAAGTGAAGGAAAATAATCAATGCTATTTGGCTGCGGCTGAAGTGTTTTCCCGGCTTCGTGAGGGGGTTTCCATTGATTCACCCTGGGCACTCGCTCGCTCCCTGCCTCCTCCTCCTCCTCGCCCTCCTCCTCCTCCTCCTCCTCCTCCTCGCCCTCCTCCTCCTCCTCGCCCTCACTCCTCCGCCTCATTCACTGGCTGGAGCCGAAGCGTCCCACACAATGGAATAATCAATACCCAAGCGCCCGGGGCGGCCCCACTGAGCAGGTGCAGCGGCCCGCCCTCCGCGGCGCATGCCGGGACTTGTAGTCCGTCGCCTCCGCCCTCCAACCCGCAAGCGCAGTGTCCGCACTCCTCCTTTGAGCTGGAACCCTACCCTGCCCAGGGGCGGGCTCGGTGTGGCCAGCCAGTCTATCCTGTCGCCTCCTTGACTCTGGCGCCAGGTCCTCCCGGTGCCTGCAAGAGGGCATGTCCCTAAACTCTTTCCCGTCCCCTCCTCTTCCTTTTGCCTACAGAAAACATGCATGCGTTTTGTTGTTTTGTTTCAGATCAGCTCTAGAACAAGCTCTGGCGTTTACCAGCTTGCCAGAGCTGCCCGGAAGTCTTTCTTTTTTCACTCCCTTCTTGCTTCCTTATCTCCCCTTCTTTCCGATTGAAAACCTTCTCTCACAGCAATTACTCTGAAGTCTCTGAGTTTCTGCTTCCTCCCTGCGGTCACACAGTCCTTTGAATTGGGGAGGGGAGGTTCGGTTTTATCTGCTCATCAGCCCACTATATTGAAGTAACAATAATTTATAACATTTATTGAGAATATAGGGACAGTTCCAATCACTTTTACATATATTTGTTTATTTAATACAACTGTATAAGTCAGATACTTTAATTCCTTTTACAGGTGACAAAATTAAGGCACGATTAAACCAGCCCATGGTTGCATGGTCAAAAAGCAACAGCAGCAGGGTTAAACCTCAGTAGTCTTGTTCCAGAGATCACACTGGATGCTAAAACCTAGTTTTAAATAATAACAACAACAAAGTAAAACCTCCTGAAGTTCTGGGTTTCTACCAAATGACAGTTTGTTACTGAATCCTCATATAATTGTGAGGCAGTTCACAATTTATCAATAAAAAAGCAGAGTATTAGGTACAGTAGCTTGTCCAAGGCCAACCATCTAGAAAGTGAAACTCAGTCAACCCCAGGTCTGTCGCTGAAATCTAGGCTTTCCATTCCATTAAGATGCTGCCTCTACTGTTAGACCAGGACGCAAGAAAAGACCACTGACTCCAATTAAAATCAAATTAAAGCAAGCTTATTATTTCGTCTGGCCAGGCTGCCTTTCCCTCCCAAAACGGCGGGAACAAAACAGCAGCCCCACCTTTCCTACAGCCCAGCTTTATAGCCCAGAAAGTTACACAAAAGGGGGGTTACAGATAACAGAACTCTGACAAGCATCACACTAATGGTAGTTTACATTTTTTTTTTTTTTTTTTTTGCTGGCCCCAACATCAGAATTTATGARGAYCATTRGAGCCTCAGAGAGGGTCGTTGTCTGGCCAGGGAAGGCCAATATTTATGAGGTGTCACTAAAGTTTCAGAGAGGGCTGCTATCTGGTCAGAGAGCCAGGCATGGGTGAGTTCAAGGCATGGGCAGGCATTCCAAGCAGGTTCAGAATTTGCAGTAATTTATAGTAAAGCCGAAATTAGCTTTTCATGGCTTTGTGGCAAGATGGCTCCCAATTTTAATAAAAGATCAGGTTGGGTCTATCATCTACCCCATTGGGGAGGACATTAAACATAAAAATACTAGGACTTCTTTCTGAGTCAACAAAACTTTGGGGGGGGGGGCGGGGACTGCAAAGGATGAAGGAAATGCAGGCCCTCCCAGTCCAGTGGTGCTTGACATGAGGTAGGAGTAAGGATACATCCAAGACATCCCAAGTTTTGCCACCGTTTTACTTCACTTGTGTTTCCAGACACATACAAGGGATAGACTGGTGTGGAGAACCCGGCACTTTTTTCACTAATTTCAGAAGCAAGCCTAGGAGTTGACAATATCCTCACCCAGAGAGTAAGATACAAAGTTTATAGATAACATAAACTCTCAGAGGGAGTAAGGAGGCATTTTCTCTATAGAGTCTTCTAAAGCAGCCAGAGAGAGGGTCATTTCTCTTCCATATGTCTTGTATTTTAAATGAACATTGAATATTTTTCCTACTCCTAACAAAACATGCTCAAGGTCTGCTGGAATTGACAGACTCGTCAGTCTGGCACTCACTCAAGGGCTTTTCCAACTTGCCCCTCAATTGTATTTCCAGCCCCATCTTTATTCTCATACAGGCCAGGTACTTTTCAGTATCTGGGTCTTTGCTCATGTTAGGTCTCCACCTAGGTTTTACCCGTTGAAATCCCACATCTGTAGTTCATTCAAAATTTCACTTTCTCCTCTAACAGAAAGTCTTTTGCTCACTCGTACTCTTAACATTCTTACCAGAATGTGTTTGATCCCCTCCAAAACTCCTACATTGGACTTAATTGCCTTTCCTTCTTCCCAGCCCATTGCCACTGGCCTGCAGTAAATAGGCCACCATAATAGTTAAATATGTGCCAGACAGCGTTTGAGTGAGTGACTTGTGTTTCAGGCCCACTGCCTAGTTCGGGAGGGGTTGGAGAGTGCAGTCTCAAGTTCGTTGCCCACGACTCTCCCCACAGAGCTGCAACCCCAGTTCAGCTTTAGGTAAGTCCCCAGAGCACTAATTGCAGCTTTCAGGTCACCATAGCAATGGGTGGGGCGAAATAGCGAAGATCTCCCCTCCTCCGAACTACATCTCCCATCATCCACCCGGCTCAGGAAGCCACGCTCAACCAGAGGCCTGGGACCCCTGACGACCCCCCGGACGCCAGGAGGCATAGGGGTTACGCTGCAGGGTGCCTGGGGACGGTCTCGCTCCTCTGCCCTAACGGGAGTCGCGATCGCCCTTAACCTAACAGGTCTCTCGGGCCGGTCTGCCCTCGGCACTGTTACCATGGGCCTAATATGGCCGCTGGTGCTCGTACTCTCCTGTCACGCAGTTGAGCTGGGCTGAGGTCCGAGACCAGGGACTCCTCCCGGCATTCCTCGCGGGTGTGGCGTGGACTCCTTCCCCCCCATCTTCTGGTCCTACGAGAGGGAGACCCTTGGGTTTGAGGTGAGACCCGAGGCAAAGCCGGCGGGTGCTGTGGCTGCGAATGGCAGGTCATCCCAGGTAGCAGCTCTTGGTCTCCTGGGGTAGCAAGTTGTAGTGTGGGGTGTTGAGACGAAATTTGCTGCATGACCTGCTTTCTAGGGACATCTTTGGGTTAAGAACGTCATCAATAGTGGAATGGATTTAACTGGAGACCAATCACTATAGCAGAACGTTTAAAATCTCGCAGACAGAGCCCTGTATCGCTGAGGCAAAGATCTGCAAGTCTGTATGCGTCTCAGTAAATTCAGCCAGAGCTAGAGTCTCTGCTTAGCCATTGCCCAGCAGGCTGAACACCTTTGGGCGCTAAGAAAATGTTTGTTGCAAATGATCCTTGCAGATAGCATGGCCCAGGGCTTGATTGAGGTGGAGCGAAAGTTCATTCCAGGGCCTGGCATAGAGGAACGACTGCAGGAGTTGGGGGGCATCCTAGAGCACCGGATCACCTTCCGAGACACCTACTATGACACCCCTGAGCTGAGCCTGATGCGGTCTAACCACTGGCTGCGACAACGAGAGGGTAGTGGATGGGAGCTCAAATGCCCTGGAGCATCAGGTATCTCAGGACCCCACACCGAGTACAAGGAATTTACATCTGAACCTGCAGTTGTGGCCCAGCTCTGTGAGGTGCTGGGAGCTAAGGGTCTGGGGGATGGAAGTATGGCTGCTGTGCTGGGTCCACTAGGGCTGCAGGAAGTAGCTAGTTTTGTGACTAAACGGAGTTCCTGGAAGCTGGTATTCCCTGGAGTCAATGAAGAGGAGCCAATGCTTAAGGTGGACCTGGATACAGCGGACTTTGGCTACGCTGTGGGTGAAGTAGAGGCCCTGGTACAGAAGGAAGCTGAAGTACCAACTGCTCTAAAGAAGATCAATAGCCTCAGCAGCATGCTCGGTGAGGGGGACAGGACCTTCTGTGTTTTCCTGATCCCCACTTTCCTTTCCTGGCTTTTTAATCTTTTTGCAATGCTGGGATTGAGCCTAGGGCCTCCTCCTAATCATGTTAGGCAAGCGCTCACCACTAAGCCACACTTTCCTTTTCTGGAGCACTGGCTGTGACCAAGAGTAGTTGGTGGGAGTTGGACTATATAATGGGGGAGGGTCTCTGGATTATTTCTTTAACAGTAATTATTTTAGCAATTTTCTAGAGGACCCAGTTTTTCCCACAGTTCTATCAAGTTTTCTCTTTTACAGTTGCTGTCTGACTTGGATTTAAGCCTTTCATAAGTCTCTATTCTTCATCCCAGCCATTCTGTCTCATTTAATTCTCATTCCTCTGGCCAAATTTCTTTCAGTTCTATTTGTCAGTTCTCTACTTTAACCCTTCCTTCCCCTAATCTTTTTTTTTTTTTGCCCATGCTGGGGATCGGATATCCTTTTGTTTTTATGGTTTCTTAGAGTTCATTTAATTCAATGTCTTGGCTTTCAGTGAAAGGCAAGAACATTGCATTTATGAGAGATGGTTGGGGGAGCATTGGCAAATTTGGTTTCTTTTTTTTTTTAATATTTTATTTAGAGACAGGGTCTCACTGAGTTGCTTAGGGCCTCGCTAAGTTGCTGAGGCTGGCTTTGAACTCACTGAGGCTGGCTTTGAACTTGTGATCCTTCTGCCTCAGCCTCTGGAGCTGCTGGGATTATAGGCATGCACCACTGTGTCTGGCTCAGATTTGGTTTTCTGTTCCCATGCTCAGTTTCCTAGTAGACAGCCCATCCACTAGTTTGGGGTTGTGCACGCCATGGGGCCTGACAGCCCTGGGATGCTGTTTCAGCCTCCTTAGCAACTATACATCCTGTTTCCTGCTGTATGCTCAGTATGCTGCTGGGCACTAACAATGGAAACTGGCAGTGGCAGTTCTAGAGAGAATTCTTGCTTTTTTTGGGGGGACAGGGAGGGAGTTGGTTTGCTGGGGATTGAACCCAGGGCCTTGAGCATGCTAAGCAAGCACTCCAGTATTGAGCTATATCCCCAGCTCCAGAGGGGAGAATTCTATGTGAATCCCACCCCATAGCTAAAACTTCTTTTCCTTTTCTTTCCACAGCCTTTGGTTTCTCTCCTATGTGTAAATCTCTGTATGTGCTTCATTACCAAGCTAATGAGCTTTTGCCTGCCTAGATGGGTTTTCATCTTGATTGGGGGACAAGGGTAATAACTAGAGTGAGTCCATATTGAAGGATCCTCTGTCTTCATGGCACCTGGGTGCTTCTTCACCATTTCCCCTGGTTGGAGAAGAGGCTCACGTGTGGCTTCCCAGCTTTCCTGAGTCTGAAGTGGCTCTTGGGTCCCACTTCTGGAGTCCAGTGAGGTAGCTTACAGAAGCTAATTGGATGACAATCAGAATCTCAGTGCTACCTTCAAAACAACTTGGGGGTCCTGGCTGGGTGGTCAGGGAGGAAAGTTAAAGCATGTATGGCAGTTCTGTCTGCTTCTTTCCTCACTATCCTTTGTCTATAGGTGTGCCGGCACAGGAGAGGGCACCTGGCAAGCTCATCGTGTACCTACAGCATTTCCGTCCTCAGGACTATCGGCGCCTGCTAGAAGTAAACAGCTCCACAGAGGACTAAACATCCCGACAGCAGCCTGGGCTAGGGGTGTCACTTCCTAGAAGAGAAAGGGAACTCTTGGTCCAGCAGGGGCCACACGTGGCCTCACTGTGCCTCTTCCCTCCCACCTCCTCTCCCTATACCTCTGCCTGTTCTTTCGTCCTGTTCTCAACAACCGGTTCCTTGAGCCCTCCCTGGTTGCTTCCTCTCTCTCATCAGTCAGATGCAATCTGTGGGCCGCCCCTCTCCCCTGGCCGCTAAGCAGCCTCCATTGATTTCCGCTCGTGTTTATAGGATTTCCACTTAGCCGTGATCAGTAGTTAAGCACAGGAAAATCCCTTGCCACCCCCCTCCCTTGGTCGATGCCATTGATTCTGCCAGCGGCTCCGAAACCGCCTTACAGCTGAGTTAGAGATGAGGGGAGGCAGCAGGGATTTCCCTGCTTTGGGGTGTGGGGAATAGCAGGGTGGGGAAGTGGTTGGGAATTCCTGTTAGAAATCAAATCTTGCTTTGATTTTGTCACTGTGTCCATCTCTGGCCCAGAGAGTAGAGTGCTTCCTGTGTCAGCTTAGGGGCAAATTTGATCCCTAACCTTGAGGGGCAGAGGAAAACCCTGGTGTGCTTGAGACTGATTCTCAAGGTTCCCAGAAAGATTCCTGGGACCCTTCCTATGTGAGAAGCCTCTTCCCTTGCTGTTATTTATACATATTTTTCTACCTCAAACATACCCAGATTATGGCTTTATGCCCCCCTTGGGCTTTATTTGGCTGCCATTATTTGTGGGGGAGGGGAGCAGACCCACAGTTTTGCAGTGATTAATGCAGAACCAGGGTGCCATCTGCTGGTAGCCCTCAGAGTTGGTTCCCCACTGCTAGGACCACAGGCTTTGGGATGCAGGAGGATTTCAGGCAGAGTGAAGAGTTATTGCCACGTTTCCACAGGCAAGTTGTTCACCTCAAAGATCTCTTGCACCGATTGGCCCAAGTGGTTGTAGGTCAGGCGCAGCTTTAGCCGCAAGGGGGCCTAGAAATGGGAGAGTGGAGACCAGAGTTAGTGCCTGTGACTTCTCCCTTCCCTAGGTCTTTCTTACCCATGGGGCCCTGGAACTGACCTTGTTAGGATTGAGGATTCTGAAGAGCTGGGTGATGGGGAGGCCGCCCCAAGCTGGAACTGTGTTCCCACTGGGGGCCTGCAGCTGCAGCTGGAAACTCTGAACATGGGATTTGGGCAGAATACAGTAAGGCAGCTGGCCGGGCTCAGGCAACCCCTCCATACTCAGTGGTGCCAAACCCTCTTCCCATCAACTCCCCAGGTACCTGTCTCTGCTGTCACTCCCTTCCCATCTCATCCTGTCTCCCACCCACCTCTACTCCTTCCTGGAGTACCTAGGCCACCTCTGAATCCTGGTATTTACAAACCTTGGGCACAGCTGCCTGGCAGATGAAGTGGGTGACATCACCCTCTGAGGAGTTGGTGGTGGTGACGGTAACTAAAAGCAAAGCAGGGGATCCAGGTGGTCGAGTGAAAGACAGATTGAGCTGTACTCCCTCACGCTCGAACACTTTGAGATTTGGAATGGGAGCTATATAGCAGGGAAAGAGAGGCAGCTCAGTGTGCAGGCTCAAGATAACACGTTCATTCAACAACAACAACAACAACAAAACAGTGAGCACCTCTTATCCCTGTACTGCCCAAGATGCTTGACAAGTAGACAACTGACAGTATAGTGCAGGGAGAGAAGCAATAACAGAAAATAAGCAAGATAATCAGGCTGGAATGGGTACTATGAGGGAAATAAATTAGCCAGAGTAACTGGGAAGGACTAATTTAAATGGGAGTGGCAGGGAAAGGCATTTGACATTTCAGGCTGGAGTGCCTTCCCCAACCAAGCCAGTCACTTGATGTGCCAAGGAAGTAACATTTTGTGTAAAAAGAGCATGAAATGCCAAGGTTTAAGACGGGAGGGTTTGAGGGGGCCAGTGGGGAAGTGGGATGAGATGGGGTGGGGAGGAAGCAGGGCCCTGCTGGCCAGGGCTAGAAGTCTAGAACAAAGAAGACACTGCAGCCAGGAGAGGACTGGCATGACTGAGTGAACCCTTTCACCTACGAAAAAGGGGATGGGATATGGGCACACAGGAGGGAAAGGGTTTATGAGCTTCACTCAGCACAGAAGCAGAGATGGCACATTCTCACCTACCTTCTCTAAGACTAGACTCTTTCCTGAGGCTTACCTGGAGGTGGCAATGCACAGGGAAGGTCAAGGAGGTGTACTAAGGTACCTCCTGGGGATGGATCCAGAGGGGGAGGATGCTGGGCATCCTCAGAAGTGTCATCCAGGAGATCTAACAGGTCCAAGAGCTTTGAGGCCCAGGGGAAAGGGCAGAAGGGTCAGAACTTGGCATGGAAGCCCAAGTCAGTCCTTCTTATCCCAAGGCTTCCAGTCTCCTCACCTGGGGCTCTGTGGGGACAGGGGCTGCTGCCTTTGAAACCTGGACTGCTTCTTTGCTTTCCTTTGCCTCCTCATCAATCTGAGGGCCACCTCGCTCCACAAGAGGCATCTTCTCAAGGATGGCAGCCCTGAGAGGATGGAATGTAGGTGTCTCTCTAGGTAGACCCTTTGCCTCTCACAAGAGACACCTACAAAGAGTGCTCAGAACATGGAGATGCTGGGCACATAGTGGATCAGAAGTGTCCTTCTAATAAGATGGCATACTGTTGCTGGTTTTCAGATGAACAGGGAGGGTTAGGAGGCAGCTTGCTTCAATGAACTGTGTGGAAAGCTCTTGCAGTGGACAACAACACAGGAGAGGATGAGACCCTTGAGGCTAGAAGGGGGCATTTGGGAGAGGGCAGGGATCTGGGTCCCACACCGGAGCCCATGTTTGACATACCTCATGTGGTCATACTTCCGGAAGAGTGTGTTATATTCTACAGCCCGCTGCTGCAGCTCTACATCTAAGCAGCTCCYGTAGATAGACACCACCTGGCGGATGCGGCTGGGCCACAGAGTTGTGTGAGTTGCAATGGCAATTTGTCCTGCCCTTCTGCTTCAGTATATGGCAGAGAAGGGAGCGGTCCCACAGAGTGAGGAGACACTAAAGCAAGTCCCAAGATATGTAGCTCTAAAGCAATTCCCAAGATTGGGGGATAAGAGTGGCGAGGGATAGTGCAGCTATCTGGAGAGCTTAGAAATGGTATGCAAGTGAGGAGACAATTTTCTCTGGGCTGAGACCTCTTCTTACTTGTTATCCCCTTGAAGCCGGGTGCTGAGCTTCATGAGGGCTGTGAGTGCATATCCTCTGGTGGCTGGCAGGGACATTTGGGACTGCAGCACCTTTTCCAGGAGTGCCAACACCTCCTCTTCTTCCACCTTCAGGTGTGGGTACAAGTAGTGACCTAGGATCTAACCCTATCTCCCTTGACAAGTCCATCCTTAGTGTGTCCACCATGTAGGCCTTACCTGAAGGGGTTCTACTTCTTCACAGCTCCCCTCCAGCAGGAGGTCCCCATACTCTCCAATGCACCAGGCTGCCACTTGCACCAGTGGCTGCTGTATGGGAGAATCACATCTAGGTCAGTGTTTGGGGTTCCCTCCTCTCTTCCACACTCTGAAACATCCCCTTATGCAGCACAAATACGGTGGGGCAGGGAAGGAAATTTGTGAGCAGTTTCTGTCCTGATGTCTGGGCTCCCACTGCCCTCTGGTGGCCCAGATTCAGAAGTACATGGCCTGGCCACTTGATGGAACTGTGAGAGGGTCCCACCCTTGAGGAAGAGCAGGGTGATGGTTTCTGCTCATCCTACTTAAGAGGAAAATGGAGAGTATGCCATGAATATATAAAAATACATTCTACTGTCATGTATAACTAAAAAAAAATTTAAAAGGGGCAGTTTAGTATTGGGTGGCACCTTTGGCACTCAGCATTTGAAATAATAATAAAGTATAATATATGCATAAAACTTGTATCTATCTCATTTGATTATAAAAACAGCCCTGGGAGATAGGCAGGGTAGAAAGCTGAGTACATGGAGCCTAAAGGAAGTTAAACTAGTCATCTGGGATTACATAGCCAGTAGGTACCAGGGCCAGAACAGCAGCCCAGGTGTTCTAAAAGGCAAGCTCTGTTCTTAAGGATCTCCTGCGCTAAGTAGACAGCTGTGAGCCTAAGAGGAAAACAGTTCAGAGTCCAGTGAAGAAGGGAAGCCCAGAAAGAGATAGGAGGCAGCCCTGGGCTTGGGGAGGTGGGAATGGCACCTGGGAGATGTCTTCTGCCAGGGCACTATAGAGTCGGCACACAGAGTAGGCATGTAGCTCCTGGGCACCCCCAATCAACTGCGTCAGGTTGGCCACTGCATCATCCCGCACATGGGCTCCTGCCTGGAAAGGGTGGACATTGTCAAGTCAGTGTGATTAACTCTGTCCACTACTGCCCAACTCTCCAACTAGCCCATCTCACCGTTATCAGCACGTGAAGGATGGTGTCTATGTGCCATCGCTTGGTTGGAGCAAACCTAGGGACATGGCTTATCAGTCCTGGCACTGTCCTTGTCCCTCCCCAGACTGTACCCTCTCCATTTCTGGGAACCTATCCCCTCACCTCTCTGCAGCCAGCAGGATGCCTGAGGCACAATCAGCCCGTAAATCGAGGGGGCAGGACTCCAGAAAGGCCTGCAACTCCTGTGTCATGGCTCGCACATTGGAGCTATTCACCAGAGCTAGGCTCAGTTCCAGGGCTCTCCTGGCAGGAGAAAAGGGTCCATGCAGGTGGCCCAGATCACCCAACTCCATGCCTCTGGCCTGCCCCATCCCTAGGATCTGCTCCTACAGTCCTCTTACTCCAGCTGCTCTGAGCTGGTTTGGGTCTTGGCCACTAGTCACTGTATCCTCTACCCTGTCCTCTTGTTCCCTTTATGCTCACCGGCTGAGGGAGGCATCAGTTTCTCGCAGACATTCCACCACAGTGGGCCGATGCCGCTGCACAGCACTGTGATCAGACTGCACCAGGCGTAGTAAGGACGTCAGGGCTACATACCTGGTCAGGGTGGGAAAGGCCCTGTCATGCTGTGGCCATTAGCCTTGCCCTGRGTAAGTGGATCAGGAGGTTCTGGAGGGAAGAGTACAGAGGGTCAGGGCTCAGTGGCAGAGTATAGCCACACACAAGTCATTACCTAATGTTCTTATCACTGTTGAGCAGGAAGCGGCCAAGAATGTTGACAGCTAGAACCTGTGGGAGAAAGAAGGTGGGCACTCAGGCAGTAGCAGTCTATTCACTCAAGAGTGGGGACCACATGACACAGGATGACAGGTGTTGGGGAAAGGCCAGTGAACAGAGCCCTGCTGGCTGGCTGGGAGTGGAGAGTAGGCCACAGTGGGAAAGCATATGGGAAGATACCCGTAGGCCGGCTGCAGAGCGGATGTCCATGATGGTAAGCACTGTCTCAAATAGGACCGCGTTGCCTGCATTTYGACTGGTGTCTGTGTTGGTGGCTACCTGAGTGGATGGGAGAGGAGATACATCCACAAAGGCCTCTCTCCTCACTAGGATCTCTGGAAGCTCTCCACTATCCATCCATTCCTCAACCAGCCAACAAAGTTTCCCAAACCCCACTATGTGCCTGGGCCAGCTTGGGCACTGGGACATTAATACTGCAACATACTGTGTCCCTCCTTCATGTAGTTCATTGGCTAGAGGGGACAGAGGAGTGATTACACAGCTGCTACATGGTGAGTAATCCTGTAACGGATGCCCAGGACTGGTAGGTAGATCCCAGAGCAACATACCTAAGCAATGTCCCCCCAACCCACACCTGTGCTAGCAAGTCATTCATGGTCTCACTGCTTTCCTCATGGTTCCGGCCCAGGATCCGAAGCAGACGAAGGATCTGGACCTGTGGTTGGGTTAAAGATTGAAAGATGGAGAGATTCACAGGATAAGGACTTATGGGGCTGAGGAGAAAAATCCAACACTGAGGACAGCATTCATTRTAAGGCATCTGGTTAGACCCTAGAGCCTCCCATCCTTCATCACCTCCATAGGTCCTGGTGGCCCTGGGAGGGGATCAGAGGTGTATGAAGCCAAGGGAGTTTAGGACAGGCTTTTTGTTGTTGTTATTACCAAACTGGATTTCTGACCTTCAGTCATATCCTCTCCCTGTCTTTGTCCTGGAATGACCAGGGCAATCAGTCTACTACTCTCTGGCCCAAGGCACTGACTAAGCCAGAGTATACTACAGGAATCTCACTGCTAAGCCTTCTTTCCTCTAGGGATACATGAAGGAAAGGTCAGCCCACCTGCAGGAAGGGGTCGCTGACTCCAGATATGCTGTGCTCTGTGGAGTATCCTGTTGTCACCAGCATCCGGAGGATCTGTACCAGCTGGGATACTACCTGGAGGGAGGGCACAATGTTGTCTGTGCATTCCATCCTTATTTTTGTACTCTCAGCTTTAGCCCCATTCTGCCCCCAATGCCCCTCTTTGACAGGGCCAGGGCCTACCCCTTCACCAGCCCACCTTACGAAAATGCCTGAGGGCTGCAGGGCTTYGTTCGCAGAGCTCCATGATCAGCGTGATGGTGCCCAGCAGGATGCCTGGGGTCAGGGCATGAGAGAATCTACTGTGAGCATGTCTGTGTGTATGCACTACTATTGTTCTATGAACTGGTGTTTCTCTCCTGTTTTTCATTTCCATTCATAGCCAGACCAGACACAGAGGATGGGGAGCCTTTTGGCCTTACCATGGTGGCGCTCATGAAGCAGTTTGGCACAAGGTGGGAGGAAGATGTCAGAGAGCTCAGGGACCTTCCGGATCATGTGTACCGCAGTCAGAATAGCCTGTGGAGGTCAGGGGCCTCAGATAGGCAAGTATCTACAAGGATGGAATCTACACACAAACACACACACACACACACACACACACACACTTCTACTGCATGGCAGATGAGGGACAGTTTCTGAAGGGGCAAGTGCTAAGTTCTTCATCTCACCTTCTTGCGCACATAGGGGCTGGGCTGCAGGAGCAGCTTCTCCACCTCGGTGGCCAGGTCCCGGCACATCTCAGCAGAACCCATGGTGCTCAGAGTGCACAGAGCCAGGCCTTGTACCGGCTGAATCCCCTGACTCAAGTCACTGCAGGGTTGGGAGGATGATTAGTCAAGCCTCTGAGGAAACCAGTTCTTCGCAGTAACTACATCAGGCAGCACCCTGGAATTTACCAGTTCCCCACTCTCCCATCTCCCTGATTTGCAGTTCCCCCAGAACTTCTCACTTCTTGATGCTGTTGGTAATGAGCAGGTGGGCATCGTGCCTCTCATCCAATAGAAGCATGGCCCCCAGGTAGCCCACCCTCTTGTCTGTGAATCTGGGGGATGCAATCAGTTTCAGGCACTCCATCTACAGGGAAGAGGGCAGATCCGAAGGGCAGGGGTGAAACAAGAGGGTTCCATGCTACTCCTTCACCTCTCTRCCAGTGGCACACATATCTATATGTTCAGCTGGGCTTTTCTTATCATTAGATTAACTTTTGGGGCATCATATCCCATCATCCTCTCTTCAACCAAAGAGGCTTAGGAGGGTCAGGCATTAGTGTGCAGATTAAAGAACATAGGAGTGGAGGAGGCTGGAAGAAAAGAAGAGGAGGTGCCCTGAATGGGTTGGCCAGAGAATGAAGGGTTCACCCCAGCTGAGGACTAGTGGGGTAATGGGAAAAGTTTTTTCCAGTGCATGGTGAGATGATTCAGAAACCAGAGAATGAAAACAGTCGGGGCACAAATAAATGAAGAGATCCACGACCCTGTCCCAACAGCTTTCCTCTTCAAACTCTGGAGGCAGATATACCTGTCCAAAGTGGGCAGGGTAGCCCAACATGTGGACATAGAGCAGTTTGGCCAGCTGGCGGTGCCTCTGCAGAGGGTCCCCATCTCGGAAGGAGGCCCGGATGTGGGCGCATTCCTTTTGGATCACCTCCCGCTCCTGGGCCTGAGTCTTGGCTCTGCGAATCTCCTCGATTAGGTCCTGAAGCTTCAGCGAGGGCACCACCATCCTGGGGGGCAGAGCCCGGGAGTGGGGAAGTCTTTAATATTTTCTAGCCGGCAGCCAGGTTTGCCCTGCTCCAAGATCCTAATGGTCTGGGTTTTACATCTATCCTAAACCTTACTCCTGTTACCTTTCCCCACCCGGGTCCCCAAAGCCCACCCCCATCGCGCCGCCTAAGGAGATTCCCCACTACGCATGCGTCCCTGCCCCACCCCGCACCTGTTCCTACGGAGCATGCGCCAGAGCCCCGCCCATCTCCCCTTTTTCTATCCACCTGGTATGCCATTCCTAGCTTGGCCATTCCTTCCCATTCAGGGCCCTGCACTGTTGTTTTTTCGCGAGATTCCTCCCCGCATTCCCATCTCTGGCGGCTTCAGCTTCCCCGCCCCAGGACGCCAGCCTCACCTGCCTTCAGTCAATTGTCCTCCTCTCCCCCCCAGACGCTTCCTGGTATAGGGCCGAACCGGGGTTGGTGCCCGGTCGGGTCCTTCCCTCTCCCCGCCTCCACCACAGGACCCCGCCCTCCTGGGCCGCCCGAGARCCTTCTGGAGTGCTCTGACCTCGGCGTGTAGGGGAAGGAGCTCTTACCAGCTAGGACAGCTAGGCAGTAAGCTGGGCCGCGGTTCCCCAAGAGGCTTCCTTCTACCTGTCACCACCCGGAGAGCCTCGGAGAGTTTGGGTTTGCAGCCATCGCACCCCAAAGGAGATGACAATCCCCCCCCTTTTTTGAACTTTTTTATTAATATATTTTTTTTTTGTTAAATTTCTTTGTATTTTTTTTTCCTGCAAGACTTGGTGTTGGCGGCACTGTTGTATAACTTCAATCCCAAATTCCATGAAATAGAAATCAGAAGTAAAGGTTGAGAGGGGAGGAAGGAGGGAGGCAGGCCAAGGAGTAAACAGAGTTTGACTAGAAAAAAGAAGAGGGTATATGTGGTGGGCATTCCCGGGCAAGGCCATTTCTCAAGGGAGGGGGTTGGCAGGCAGTTTGTCTCTGCCTCATGCAGGGGAGGGAGGAAAAATCCCCTGGGGACCCCATATTCCCCTCTTCCTAGGGCTTCCTACCCCCAGGGGGAAAGCTAGTACCAGGGATCAGCCACAACCTCAAACAGGTCTCTCCACCCACCTCTCACCCTGGATTTGACTCCCACCTCTGCCCTGCCTGGGAAGTGTGGGAGAGATCAGCTTCCTTGGATCCCCTCCTTCTGTTGTTTTCTCATTTCAGGAGATTCTGATGTGATGGGGGAAGGGACAAAACCCACGGGGCCTACTAGACTGTCACAGCTTCTGCTGCCCTGTGAGCTCTTGTTTCCATCCCCCAGAAGTGCCTCCCCCCACCACAACTGTCAGAGTTGGGGAGTGGTATCCTTGCTCAAATGCCTCTAGCACTCTGCAGTTGAAGTGTCTTCTTTTAGGCCCCTTAGGAATTTAATCAAAGGCCACAAGTGAGTCCAGACCAACCAAATAAACTTTTAGGGGAACACATAAGGGTAGAGAGGGTAGTGGTAAGGTCTGAGGGGGTGGGCTTGGCTGCATTGGATAGTTTTTGTTCCTTTACACATTGTTCTTGGCATGGCATGGCATGGCATGCCATTACAGGGGGTTGGAAGATAGGCTGGCTGTTGAGGAAAGAAAGAGGGAGATCTAGGGAGTTATTCTATTGTTCACGTTCCTTTTTCTCCCTCTGGGAAGGATCAGTGAGCCAAGAACCTAACTGGGTGCTGGGAGGGGAGACACTGTCCTCCAAGGTGACAGGTGGAGGTGGCACCTCCTTCAGCCTTTTCAGCTTGGGCCAGGAAGCCACAGTGGCTCAGCCAGCACCCTGTCCAGCATTTAATCACTCCCTTCTCCATTGTTTTCCTCCTCTGCGCTCAGCTTTTAGGAGACTCCTCAGGACACCTTGGTGAAATTTAGGTTTAAAGAAAAGGTGGAAAAGGTGTGGGGGCAATGGTCTGACTTAGATTTATGTGTCTCAGAGAAGACGGCAACTCTGAGAGAGAAAAGCCCTTCATATGTAAACAATCTAGAGAAAGAGGGGGTTGAGGTGGGGAAGGGAGTGAGGAAGACAGACACAGATCTAGAGTAAATGAGATAAGCTGAAAGAAGAGAGGGAAGGAAAAAGCAAGAAACAAAAATAAAGTAGGACAGAAGAGAAAGGAAAAGGAGAAGGAAATATAGGAACAAAAACAACTAGGGGGAGGAAAAGAGAAAAAGGCAGGTCAAAGGGGTGAAGAGGCAGGCAACCAAAGCCAGAGCTTGGCCAGGAAGTAGCCTCAGGTGAGGAGCTGGGAGAACAGGAACGCCAGGCTGAGGTCCAGGAGGGCTATGGCTCCCACCACCAGGGGGTTGGCAGCTCCCTAGAGAGACAGAGCGGGAAGCAAGCTCAGTCCCTGAATACCAAGTCCAGTGTTGATCCCACCTCCCTGCCCTCCCTTCAGGTGGCAAAGCCAAGGGTCCCAGCCACCTCCCTACACAGGACRAAGCATGAGGATGTCTAGCCTTTGTGTCTTGTGTTGCAAAACACCCTTCTTCTCCCAGGCAGGGCCCCACCTTTGCTCTGGCACTCTTGAGACAGGAACAGCCCCGCCCCCCTCCTCCCTCTCCTCCCCTCCCCTCCCACCAGTATATCATATGGCCCAGGCAGAAGGTGCCTGGCCTTAGTAGCAGAAATTGGCAGTAGCAGCCAGTATTGCAGTAGGGCAAAGGGATGAAGGGGTGAGGATGTGGTTGCTAGGAAACAGGAGAAGGCCTGGAATCCAATCAGAGCAGAGGGTTCTGGGGAAACTCCACCTCTCCCAGTTTTTTGCTTTTTTTTTTTTTTTCCCTATTTCCCTTCTTCCCAGGAGAGGGAGGGAGAATGAGGGTAGGGAGGGAACAATTTTTTCTTTTTTTATTTCTGGGCACCAAAGAGAGAAAGTGCGGAGGTGGGGCTGTGGGTGGAGTAGGAAACTGGGAGCTGGAAATGATATGGAAGGAGAACAGGAAAAAATGTTCTGGTTCTACCATTAATTATTAGTTTGTAACCCTTGGAAGTCACTTTAAGTGTTCTGGGCCTCAGTTCCCCCAATTGTCAAATGAGGGAGTTCGACTTAAAGGTCTCTGAGGCTCTTATCTGCTTGAAAGTTACCTTTTTTTTTGTTACCCGGGACTGAACTCAGGACACTTGACCATTGAGCCACATCCCCAGCCCTATTTTGTATTTTATTTAGAGACAGGGTTTCACTGAATTGCTAAGCACCTTGCCATTGCTGAGGCTGGCTTTGAACTCGAGATCCTGGCTCAGCCTCCTGAGCTACTGGGATTACAAGTGTGTCGCCCCGCCTGACTGAAAGTTACCTATTTTTTTTTTTTTTTTTGAGGTGAGATATGGTCCAAGACTGGCTAGGCAGAAAGAAAGCCGAGCTGAAATCAAAACCCCTCAGGGAATCAGACAGAGGTCTGGAAAGGGGTGGGACAAGACAAAGCTTTAAAAAGAAGAGGGCATTAAGTGGGTGGGAACGGAGGATGTCTCACCCGCTGGGCAGGCCTGTCAGTCGCAGCAGGCTCTTCAAACTCTTCCATCAGGCACCCGGCATCAGGACCCCTCGAAGATGGGCCCCTCAGGACCGGCATGGTAACAGGGTCAGGCTCCGAGCCTCCTGGGGCCCTCAGCTGGGGCATGGGCTCTTCATCTTCCCCCTCTTCCTCTCGAAGGCTTCCTGAACTGTCACTGCAGCCTCCGAGGAGAGGTGAACCGTCTCTGGGCCCTGGGCCCTGCATCCCAGCCTCATCCTCAGCCTCATAACCAGCCAGTTCCTCTGCCTGCTCACCTGGCCCCCCCCATTCCTCAGGCCAAGCTTTGGGGCTGGAGAAGGGACCCCAGTCCCCTCTAGGAGGCAGTGGGCTCTGGCAGGCAGGGTGTCGCCAGGGTTGGCGGGAGGAGGCAGGACTGCTGGGCAGCTCAGGAGAGCCTTCTGAAGGGGTCAGTCCATTCTCACACACCCCAGGGCTGTCCTCATCCAAGGGCTCTGTGTCCGAACCTTCCGAATCCTGCCTGGGTCTGCGACCTGGGCAGGGATAGCTGACAATCAGTGGAGTCTAACTGGCTATTGGCTGGAGCCCCTGGCTGGCACTTCCTGGGACATTGATATCCTCAGGCTCTTAGCTTCTCACCACTGGATCCCAAACCTCTCGTTACTGTACCTCATAAATTCTCAATCCCACTCCCCAGACAAATGGGCCTGGTCCCTATCATCTATGCCCTTGGCTTGTACTTTGGCTTTCCCATTCCCAGATCCTGTGGGCTTCCCACCCCCTTTTCCCATATCTGAGCCTCTCTAGCTCCCCAAAGGGCTCTTCCCCTCCTGAGGATGCCCACATCTCACCTGGGGCCTCCAGCATGGGTTGAAGGTCCTGGGCTATCAGTTTCGCCATCCGCGCTGCCTCCACAGCCTTCTCTGCGACACTGCTGGCTGCCACTGCCTTTAGGAGGGCATCTGCTGCCCTGTCGGGTCCCAGGGATGGGGACTTAGCAGGCCTTTTCCACTTCAAATTAGCCCCTGCTCAGATTCTCCACCCACCTCATCATGTCCCCACCATATCACATCCTCATCCGAGCTCCCCTCGGGAGTTTCACCCTTCCTCTTACTGCCAGCTGCTCCCCTTCTTGGGCAGGTCAGGGCAGCTTCCTGCTTTGGTTTCCTCTCCTGGCCCTGGGGTGTTTGCTGTTATCACACTCTCCTGCTCCTCTCACACCCTTCTATCCTTGTGTCCTGTAGTAACACTTCCTCCTTCCAGCTGCAGGGGCCTGGCCCTCCCCAAACTCTGTTATTCCATCTCTCTCTTGCTCCCTACCCCAGTGACAACTGAGCCTTCCCTTTCTTACACATCCTCTGCAGTCCTGTTTGGTGCTTACCAACTAGCCTAATGCCCTCTTGGCAGTTTGTACCTCCTGTTGTTATCAACTCCTCTCATACCTCCTGATGTGTGACAATTTGTTCCCAGCCACCCCTTCCCTTTGCCTTGAATCCCCTTCCCACCGTCAGACCTCCTTATTATTTCATCCTCTTCCAGTGCAGAGTTCCTGGCATGAGAATTTTCCATCTTGCTTTTCTTTAGCCTCTTTTTTTTTTTTTTAAATCACAATGTCTTCCCTTTCTGTCAATGCCACTCTCCCCCTGCCCTGCCTCTCAGCTTTGGAACCAGAATAAGGGTGTGTCTCCCCTTTCTGCTATGATCACATCCCTTCTCCTGCCAATATGCATATTTTTTCACAATGGCAATTATACTTTCTGGGTAAGCTTAGTCTCCCTTCCATACTCCATCCCATCCTGCTCCCTAGGTACTGGCCACCTTGAAGCATTATTAATCCTTGCCCCACTGTTGTTTCTCAGTTTTCCCTCTAGTGTAGATGTTTCTTCAAGTTCCCCTTCCTTTTCACTGTCTGCTATTAATTGTAGATGCCTTGTAATCACAAAATTAGTTTGGTAATCTTAAGGCGAGGCACAAAGGGGCAGAGATGGAGGTAATCACCTGTACTTGCCATGGGCTCAAACAGACCAAGACCATGACTCCTGTTTACGATAGGCCTATTTTCTCTGGCTTAGAAAGGCAACCTGGGTATGGGGGATGGTGACGTCCACTGTAGTCTTAGTCTTTACCTCTTATTTAATCTACTTTGGGATATATGGCCAGTCTCCTTCCTTTAAACCTGGCGAATCAAGGATCTTTGCAGCCTACTTGGAGGGATTCAAGTCTTTTGTGTTAGGGCTTTTAGACTGTATATGACTAAATTTGTCCTGAAGCTGAGCTTGTCTCGGGGTTTGGAACAAAGTATGAGGAGCATAGTCTTGGGTTGCACCGAGTTCTATTGATGGCCACCAAACTGACAAGGACCTGTGTTTTTGTGTATGGAGGGCATGGATAATCAAGTCTAAGTGTCTACTGAGGCATCAGGTTGGGCTCAGGCTACCTGTCAGAGGCACCTGCTGCTGAGGCTCTGCTGTTTCCATGGCAGCCAGCAGCCAATCAGGGATGCTAGGCCTGTTGCTGGGGAGACCAACCAGCCTCCTCCCACTGCCTAATCCTGTAGTTACTGAGATCAGTTTTTTTTTTTTTTTCCTGCACATGCCTCCACCCTATCTAGCCCAAAATGTTCCCTGGTGCTCTGCCCTCCCCCTTTTCTGGCTTCAGGCCCTGAATTCTAACATCTAGACACTCAGATACATCTACAGATGCACATTCTCTGGCTCAGGCATCTGTTCAGTATTTGACATGTTTCTACTCATGCATGCGCACGCGCGTGCGCGCACACACACACACACACACACACACACACACAAAACCTGTCACCCATTATACAAATTCACTGAAGCATATTTGGAGATATCCTGATTGTTGACCTTCTGAAATAGTTTCAAATTTCAACAAAATCCCTCATCTATATCCCCACCCATTTGAAAGAAAATTCAATATATAAAAATTCAACTATGTAAGTTCTATAAATCAGAAGCCTGTATATCTTGCTACAAAATGATCTTTGGCTTTATTTTTTAAATATATTTATTTTTTGTGGTACTAGAGATTGAACCCAGGGGTACTCTACCACTGAGCTACACCCCCAGTCCTTTCTATTTTTTGAGACAAGGTCTCATTAAGTTGTCTGGGTGGTCTTAAACTTGTGGTTCTTTTGCCTTAGCCTCCCCAGTTGCTGGGATTATCATCGTGGACCACCCAGCCCAGCTGCTTTTTGGCTTTCTTCATATCTTTGCTAAGTCACTAGTCATAAATGACTATTGGATACTTGAAATGTGGCTAATCTGAATCAAAATGTTGTGCTACAAGTATAAAATACACTCTAGATTTCAAAGACTAAGTCCAATATCTCAGTAAGTTTATATTGATTATGATTTGAAATTATATTTTGGCTATATTGATTTAGATTCAAATATTAAAATTCTTTTCACCTGTTTCTTTTTGTTTTTAATGTATCTGCTAAAAGATTTTAAGTGGCTTGCGTTATATTCTTATTGGACTGTGCTGCTTTACATAGCAAGGTTCCTGATGTATGGAAATGTAATCTGATTTACAGAAAGAAAATTTCCCCCCAAACCTTTACCAGTTGGGTAAGAGAAGGTGGAGGAGGCTAAGCTGGGAGAGACTAGCTTTTCAGCTGATAGACCAGCTGTACAAACTAGACCTATCCAAGGCCCAAAGGTAAAATGGTGTCTAGCTAGGACCAGTCAGGAAGGGACTACTCCCTGTTCTGCCTATGGCTCATGCTCCCAGCCTGAGGCCTGAAGGCTGGAAGGGCTGCTAGAGGAAGATTAGGGAGTATCTGAGTTCCAAGAGGCTTGTGGGCCTGCACAAAGCTGCGCTTATCCTACTCCCACACACAGCAATGGATTCCATAGATACACATCTCCACACAAAAGACACCAAGACACACTTACAGTCTTACACCACCTCCCTCAAATACCCAGCCACCTACAGTTACACCCACATCCACCTGTAGCCTCAAATACAAACACCCCAAATCCCAGACCTACAGCTGCCTAAACTTTAGCTTGCTTTTTCCAACAGGTTCTAGGCCTTGGGTCTTGGCCCTCCTATAGGCGTCTCCTCCCTTCTCCCTGAGCTCACAGCACCCTCTTCTTCTCTTTGTGGTGCTGAGGATTGAACCCAGGGCCTTGTCCATGTGAGGCAAGCACTCTAACAACTGAGCTATATCCCCAGCCCTAGAAACCTCTTCTTTTAGCCCAGCATTGGTTTCTGCACTGGACACCCACCTGGCAGCGGCGATCTCCTGACGCTGGCGGGCAGCACTCACGGCTCGACGGGCGCCCTCAACAGCCCTGTCCACCTTCTCCTTGACTTTGCCCCGCCGCAGGGCCAGAGGCAGGAGGCTGCGAACACGGCCCCCGTGCACCAGCCGATTGCGCTTGTACTTGCCCTCCTCACGGGAGCCGTCGGGGCGGGTAGTACGCCCGTAGCCGTGCCGCCGGTTACCCAGCCACTCGCCCTCGTAGCGCAGCCCGTTGGAGCGTTGGCTCACGCCATAGCCACTGCGCCGGTCAGCACGCCACTCGCCTGCGTACACTTCAGTGGCCGAGCCCTCGATGAGGGCAGGAGGTGCTGGGACTGGGGGCCCACTGGCCTCGGAGCCTGGGGGTCCTGTGCTGCCCACCTCGCTGCTCACTTCGCTTCGAAGGGAACCCCGCTTGCTGCCCAGGGAGCTGCGCCTCCCGCCCGCCCGGAGCCCACTGAGCAGCAGTGATCGGCGGAAGAATCCACCAGTCGCAGGTGTGCGTTTTCGGGAGGACGCGCCGTCGGTGTCCCCTGGCCCGGCCAGCACGAAGCCACCCCGGGAGCCCGAGGCTGGGCTGCCTCCCTCGTCGCCTGGTAGGGGCAGGGGTGGGGGCGGCGTCGGGGGGTCGCTGTGGCCCGAGTCCAGGGAGGTGCGGCGGGGCGAGCGCAGCAGCGCCGCCTGATGGTAGGGCACACTCTGTCGTACCCCGTAGCCGTGGCGCTTCCCAGCCTGCCACTGGCCCTGATAGGTGCCTGCGGGCGGAGTAAGTTTGGGAGAAAGTCAGAACCCGCCTCTACGCTCCTTCCACCCCACTCCCCGAAAAGTCCCTGAATGTCCAAGTGTCAGGTGGGAAAGGTGGAGGCAGATGGCATGGAGGCCTGGGAAGAGCATTAAGGGCTACGGGTGTGGAAGGCAGAAGGAAAACTGGCAGAAGCAGGAGATAATGTGAATTTTGGTATTGTGGGTAGACAGGGAGAAAGGAGAGGGACAGGCAAGCTGGGAGTGTGTGAAAGACTGGCGGGCTACCCAAGCTCAGAGGGTGAGGGACAGGTTGATGGGGGGTGGGGTATAAAATAGGCATTTGACAGGCAAACAGGGACTGCCAGGGATGAAAACGTGAGCAAACTGGCAGCGATTTTAGAGACCTTCAGGTAGAGGGGAGGTGTGAGGGATAGACCAATTGCTGAAGGTGAAACAGGCAGGAGAAAAATGAGAAAGATATGATTTTGGTTGGTGGTGAACGAGGCAATAAGATGGGGTTGGGGTCATAGGACCGGGCATGGTATGAGGGACAGACGGGAACATGAGGAACAGAAGGATGGGCACAGGGGGCGCATATGGCTAGGGAAGGCGTATGGGGAATAGCAGGGCGTGGAGGGCATATGGCTGGGGAAGGCACACGCAGGGCAGACCGGCGGGAGGCGCAAGCGGATGAGCAGACAGACAGTAGTGGGCCGGGCCCCGCACCTCCGTCGGAGTAGGTCTCGGTGCCGTAGCCGTCCTGGAAGCCGTCCTTCCAGAGCCCGGCGTAGCGCAGGCCGGACACGCTCTCCCACACGCCGCTGCGCCCCTTCAGCCCGCCCAGCCACTCGCCGCGATACGTCCAGCGGCTCTTGCGCTCCACGCCCAGCCCTTCGCGCTTGCCCTGTTGCCAGTGGCCCTGGTAGCTGTGTCCGCCGGGCCCGGTGAAGACGCCCAATGATTCGAAGCCGTGCGCCCAGCAGCCGCTGTACTCGCCCTGGGCGCCAGGCCCGGTGCACACGCCGTAGCCATGTGCCCGCCCCGCCTCCCAGCCCCCCACGTAGCAGCCCCCGTCGTCAAAGTCGAACTTGCCCCCGGGGGACATGCATGTAGTTGGCGCGGCCTCAGCCCCCCAGCGGCTCAGCGCATCCTGGGGCTGGAGAACCGGCTGGGGGCTTGGGGGCCGGGCGAGGCCTGGGGGCGGGGGCAGTTAGACCGGGGCTGGGCGGAGGGGCCCCAGCGCGGGCAGGCAGGGCCGGACCCTCATCCTGAGTGGCTGCGGAGAAAGAGGGGGCAAATGGAGAGCGAGGCCCCTCCTCCTTTGCCCGCCGCTCCCTGGCCCGGTGGCTCCCGGCATCAGCACCGCCCCCCGCCCCCCTCCCTTCAGCAGCATCTTCCAGCAACTCCCAAGCTTTGGGGGCACGGGGGCTTCTCTATTCCTTCCAACTTGTAGAGGAAGCCTCCCAGTGCTTGGGCCCCCCACCCTAAGCGGGAGTCCCACTTCTCCAACCTATAACCCTAAAGCGCCTAATATGGGTGGCAATTTGGGGGTCCTGGGAGGGGCCTGGGCAGAGTGGTAGGCCACTAGCTTTCCTGGCTGCTATCAGGACCCTTCTGCCCTCGTTCTTTAGCTTCCCCAGTAAACCCGGGGGAGGGAGGTAAAAATAAAACGGGGGACGGGATCCAGGTGGGCAAATGGTTTGTTGGGGGAAAGGATGGGGATGGGGGAAGCTCTGTAGGGGAAAGATGAGGGTGGGGATGGGCAGATGGACGAAAGGGAGGGGGCAGGTTACTCACCATGTGAGCTGGGGCTCAGGCTGCCTCCCAGGCACAGCATCCATGGCAGGATACCTCCACTCCCACCTCACCCGGACAAGCCAAGCCCCCTCCTCTTCCGGAGAGACTGCTCCAACCCAGAGAAGGAAAGTGGAGGAGCTGTGGGAGAGTCCCCTCTCTCCCCAGCTGGAAGAGCAGGCTAGTGGGGTGGGGACTGAGGTAGTGGCAGGGGTGGGGGGAGATTAGAATAGTGTAAGGGGGAAAAATCCTGCCTTGGATGGAGATAGAGAAGAGGAGCTGGGAGCTGGATGAGAAGGGGGAGGGGGCTATCAAGAGGAGGTGTTTTTATTATTTTTTTCTTCTTATGGTTGGGAGAGGAAAAAAAATCAAAATTCCGATTCCATCCCAGCACAAATCAATGTTTGCTCCATCCCAGCATCACGGGGGAGGCTGGGCCAGGCAGATTTAAAGGGGCAGAGAGAAGAGAGAGGAGAGGGTGGGGAGAGGAGGGGACAGATAAGAATAATAAGTGGTGAAGATGGGGGTGGTGGTGGGGATGCCCGAGCGGAAAAGGATGGGTACCCGCTAACTCTGCGGTGAGGGAGGAGGCAGGTGGAGAGAAATGAGAGGTGCAGAGACCCCCAGGGTGGAAAGAAACCCCAGCCTGCAGGCGGGGAGTGGGGTGAGGCGAAGGGGAGGGGAGAGGAGCTAGGGGGAGGAGACTGAGCTGAAGATGGGGAGGCAGGGGGAGGCCGGAGCCAGGCGGGGGAGGAGAGATGCTCGCGAGGCCGAGAGAGGGCGTGAGGAATACAAAGAAAGAGGCGCAGGGGTGAGAGCTAAGGAGGTGGGGAGATGTAGCCGGTGAGGGAGGAAGCGGGGGACACCCATTCTGGGGCTGGTGAGGGATAGCAAGGAGGGGAGAAACAGGGGAGGAGAAAAAAAGGGGAAATTCAGAAACAGATATGGAGATCGAGAGTGAAATAAGGGTTGTGATGGGAGGGAGAAAGCTCTGCAGAGAGAAGGGCTGGCGGGGTACAGAAATCCAGGCAGGAAGAACCCAAATTGAGGCAGGAGAGCCGGAAGTGGTGTTTGTGGAGGCCATGGGGAGAGAGATGAACCTGCCAGCTGCTTGAACTGTAGCCAGGAAGCATTTGGGCATGGATGCTTGTGTGTCATTGAATCCTCTGTCCTCCCTGGGAAAGTGCAGAGGGGGACCAGGAGGCACCCACTGGCACTTTCTGAGGAAGCTCGAAATTGGTCCCTGCCAGGAAGCCTGGTTCCATTAATGCTTTTCCAGGACTCGCTCTCCACCACACTTTTTCTGCCTGGATCGACCCTCTGAAGGGGCTGGGAGGATGTCAGGCCTGGTAAGGCYATGAAGATGTGGGACTTTGGAGTCTTGTCTTGCAAACCTACAAGCAAAGACACATAGGTAGGGMTGGGGATGTAGTTCAATGGTAGAACACTTGTCTAGCATGCATGAGGCCCTGGGTTTGATCCCCAGTATTGCAAAGCAACAAAGACACAAACCAAAAATACATAGACAGGCCCCAATTGTGGCAAGACTCTCCCCAACTTGCCACCCCTCTGTCCTTGTCCACTAGCCAGAGGTACAGCACCTGTGGGCCTTAACTTCTTACAGACAGAAGTAGGCACACTACTTCTTCCCTCCCTCCTCAGCTTACAACATCTAGTTGTACCTTGCCTCTAAGCATCTGGRAAGGAGGACACTGTCCACTTACACACAAAAAGAGTCAATAGTCAAATGCATTTGATTGCTTTTATTTTCATATGAGGTACCTGTTCTGAGCCTCTGCCCTAATTAAGGTCAGAAGGGGAAGTCACAGGGGTTGGGGCTGTAGCTCAGTGGTAAAGCACTTGCCTTACATGTGTGAGGCACTGGGTTCAATCCTTAGCACCCCATAAAATAAATAAAGATACTGTGTGTTCATCTACAACTAAATAAATATTTAAAAAAAAGTAGGGGAAGTCACTCTCGAGAGGTCATACAGTAGAGGTGCAAGAGCTAGGATTAGAACACAAGATTTTGGACTTTTTTTTTTTTTCCTCTTTTTGGTGCTGGGGATCAAACCCAGAGCCTTGAGAAAATGCTAAACACATATTCTACCACTAACCTATACCCACCCACAGAGGACTTCAGACCTTCTGACCCCTGTAATTCCTCCCATGGTTTCATGTGCTTGGAAAACTTCCTTTGGACTCAAARGATTCCATTTTGAGTACTTTTGTGGGAACAAACAAACAAACATGAAGTTTGAAATAAACAGAAATTTCCCTTTTATTGTGTTTTTTTTTTTTTCCTAAAAGTTTACATGAGGAGAAATCTGTAAATTTTAAGCCTCTAGGAAAGGGACCATATATTTTAAGTGCTAGTACAGAACAAGACAGCTATGGGTCCACTTGGGACATGTCTGTTGTTGGAGAGTTCATTCATGCATTCATTTCTCTGTTCATCAAATGTGTACATAGTTTACTGTGTACCAGGTATGTTGCCAGGAGCTAGAGACCTAGTGATGAACACCCAGTGCCTCCCTCATGGAGTTTCCTATCTAGTAGAGAAGACAGACAACTATCTTCAAGAAATTCTACTGTGGTCAGTACCATAACAACTTTATAGGGTAAGAATAGTAAATACCAGTGGAACTTAAACTGGCTACCTAGGGAAAGAGGCATAAAATAAATCCACAAGAGACTTCTGGGGCAGGTCCAGCTGCATCATCCACACCTAGCCTTTCTTTCTTGCAGTGTCTTGTCCCTAAGATTTCCATTTTCTTCAAGAAATTGGGAAAACAATAAAAGAAAAAAAAACAATTTATGGATATGGGAGAATTACTGTGCCCTGTTCTTAAGGGAGAAAGGATGACTGGGGTAAGAGGCAGTGGGAATGGATGACTCTTAACTGTATATTGATTTGCAAATTAAGGTGCAGGGTCTGATGAAGTCCAGAGGAAATCTTGGATAGGAGTACCCTGAAATATATGGAACAAGTGTATCTCCCTGAGAGACCAGCTTTCCGGCCTCCTTTTTGGTCTATCCCTAACAGGTCCTGCAGACCCTCTTCTTTTAGAGCATGAAGACTTTTTTTTTTTTTTTTTTTTTTTTTTAGTGCACTGTTACATTTTGCCACAATTCCTCTGCCTTTGGTATCACAGAGAAAGAGCTAGCATCAAGGGGAACAGCAGCTCTGCTTGGAGACAGGTACTGTGCTTGGCACTCCATCTGTATTGCCTCATTCAAGCCTTGCACCAAAACTGTAATTGTGAGCAGTCCACGCTGGAGGCCAAGAGCTGGACTTCCAAAGATGGACAAACCTGAGTACATTACCTAATTTTTCTGAGATGCAGTTGGTGAACCTCTAAAATGGGAATATTATAACTTACTCTATAGCTTGTTGTGAGATTAAAATGGTCATGTATGAATTATATGTTTGATAATGTATGGAAGGAAAACCACTTTGGGCACAGTGCCAACTACATAGTAGATATCAAGTAAATGGTGGCTTGAAAAATAGCTTGGCATTATTYCAATTTTATAGGTGCTGAATCTGGGACTCAGAAGTTAATTAATCTGCTCAATGTTGCACAGCTAATRTATAGCAGCCCTTGGAGCTCAATATACATCACTTCTGTTTATATGCTCTAACAAAWGTATTTTGGGGGGACATTTATAAAAGTAAAGCATACTCATTGTAGAATTAGGAAAATACAACACAATATCAAAAAGAAAAACAAATCACCATAGTCTCACTGTATAACAGACACTTTAGTGTATTTACATGTCTCTTTTCTGCATTTTTTATGTAACACAATTAGTTAAATATTGCACATATAATTTTGTATCCTACTTATTCACTTAGCTTTACATTGTAAGCATTTTTCTTTTTCATTAAAACATCCTTGAATCTTTGATGGCTGCATAATATTCAGCTGTTTGGATGCACCATAATTTGTTGAACTATTCTAGCATAGCATTTTATACTGTTTGCACGTTTTTGCCATTAAAATTAATGTTTGTAATAAATCTTTGCTTCTCTGAGGTTTTCTTTAAAAATATTTTATCATGGAAAATTTCAAACATATATCAAAGTAGAAATATATCAAAATAGAATAGAATAAAAGAAGCTCCATGTACCCTTACCCAGCTTCAGAAAATTTTGCTCTTGTCTAATCTTATTTTCTGCTCCCCATTTATTTCAAATTCTAGGGTTTCTCCTTCCTTCCTTCCTTCCTTCCTTCCTTCCTTCCTTCCTTCCTTCCTTCCTTCCTTCCTTCCTTCTTTCCTTCCTTCCTTCCTTCCTTCCCATACTGGTGATTGAGCCAAGGGGCGTCCTACCACTGAGCTACACGCCCAGCCCTTTTTACTGTTTTAGAATTTTGGGACAGGATCTTCCTAAGTTGCCCAAGCTGGCCTCAAACTTTTGGTCCTCCACCCTCAGCCTCTGGAATCTCTGAGATTTACAGGCTTATAACACTATGGCCAGCTAGCCTATTGATTTTTCAAAGTTGAATTCATAACTGTAGAATTACTGGGTCCCAGGATAAAAACACTTTTCTTTAAAGATTTTCACTTTATTTTGCCATTGTCACTTCTAGAAAGATCATACAAATTTATACTCTCAACAATTGTGTATAAGTGCAGGTCGTATTGCACACTGACCTGACCCGTACTGATCTCTAGTTGTAATACACACACACACACACAAACACACACACACTGCCAACATTACAGGTGAAAAGGACTTTCTTTATATTTTGTTGGAGTGATTGTCAGGCTTATATAGAGAGGGTATCTGGTAACTCCAGTGGAGCAAACTCTCCTGAAGAAGACTTAGGAAACACGCTATCACTGGGAGTCCTGACTAAGGTTCTTGGGATGGAATAGTGATCTATCTTTCCTGCAGAACTGAGCCCAGCTGGCTACGCCCTGTCCCTAGAGCATGGAGGTGCTTGGAAAGCTCTTTTGCTTCATCTAATGGGCAGCCACCAGGGGTCAGGATGAGGCCAGTGATCCTGCTTTAGTGGGAGAGGGTAGGAATGGCCAGCAGCCAGACACTGCATTTCCTCTGTCTGGCCACTGCTGGCTGGACGCACAGCTTCCCTCTGCTCAGCAGATCACAGATCTAGAATGTTCTACAAGGCTGTCCTTCCCTGCCTGACTTTCCCCACCTCTCACTGATTGCTGCTAAGGGAAACGGGCTGGCAGAAACCACACTAGATGTACCAGTACTGGGTTTTCTTCTTTTCTCCACATGTCTCTGTGGGACTGGGTTAACTAAGAAACACACACACACACACACACACACACACACACACACACACACACACTCTGAGGATTGAACTTGACCACTGAGCTCCCATCCCCAATCCCAGGCTCCTCCTTTTAAATTTTGAGTCAGGGTCTCTCTAAATTGCTCTGTTTGGCTTCAAACTCGCCATCCTCCCGCCTCAGCATCCTGAGTAGCTAGGATTACAGGTGTGCATCACCATATCCAGCCTTGGAATAGAAATGTTTAACCCAAGGACAGTCCTTAGGACTGACTATGAACCCTCTGTAATTGGGCAATGGGGCATACATATTCTTTTTTTTTTTTTAACCTCTGGGAGAAAGAATAATAGTTTTTGTG